AGGGCCGGGCTTATCAGTGGCAGGCAGCCTCATCAAGGCGCCTCTGCCCAACTGGTTCATTTTAGAATTTCGAATTATGAGCACCAGCTCAGCAACAGAAAGCTGAACATCCTGCAAAAGCAAGCCCTCGGAGTCCTTCCCTGTGCTGACTCCAGCACCACTTTGCCCACACACAGTGCACCAAAAAAGGCTATCGAAAAAGCTGCCACAAAGAGTCTCGCCTCACAAGTCAACCAGCAAACAAGTCTTAACTTGTTGCGCACCGAAAATAAAATGTCAAATGTGACGGGCCTCCTACCCGGCGACTTTGGTGGATGCAACCTGGCCCAACCCTCAAGAGCCTTGCGCACTACAAACTTTGCACAAGGGTCTCTAGAATAAAGGGATTTACAGAAAAATGAAATGGCACTGAATTCTGATGGACTTTACAGCACGACCCGTATACCGCAGGTGAGCCAAATGCTGTAAATACTGCCCCGCTAGAAAGAAGGGGGAAGAGGACAACTTAAAAAGGGGAACAATAAAAAAGAATTAATGAAAAAAAGGAAGAATAATAGAAAGAAATCACCAAGACGATCCGTCAAAGGTAAGTCTCTCGGCTGCACAGAGGACACGCTGTTAGCTTGTTCCGAATGCACGAGCCGAAAGAGGAAGCTCTGGGTCAGGTGCCTAGGTATATATAGGCCCCTTGATCCATTTAGACTGTGCCCCATTGGCCAGATTGAACCCAACATCGAGGGACGTACCAATTGGGTGTTGTGGCTGACCAATCTTACCCACCCACAACACAGGTGGTCGGTCTGCAGGTCTCACCGCAACACGTGCCCTCTTTTAGGGAGGACACGATTTACCACACACACCAGTTCAACAGATTAGCACAGACTATCAGAAGAGCTGGTAGAAATTTTTCAAAGATTAAGGAAGCATTAAGAGCTGACACCCAGCTTTTCTTCCTGCCTGTATTTTGCTATTTACTACTGCATTTATTCTCCGTCTGAATGTCTTTCATTCAAGGCATCTTGAAAGGAATGTCTAAGTTAATACATTCTTTCCCCCACCACATTTTTATACCAAATTTAACCCAATTAGATGCTGGCAAAAGAAGAGCTCTTGTTTTCTAATGGGATAATACCGTGTGTGTGTGTGTGTGTGTGTGTGTGTATGCCATCCTGAGCTATTCAGAAATAGGGTGGGATACAAATACAGTGGTACCTCGGGTTAAGAACTTAATTCGTTCTGGAGGTCTGTTCTTAACCTGAAACTGTTCTTAACCTGAAGCACCACTTTAGCTAATGGGGCCTCCTGCTGCTGCCGTGCTGCCGGAGCCCAATTTCTGTTCTCATCCTGAAGCAAAGTTCTTAACCTGAAGCACTATTTCTGGGTTAGCGGAGTCTGTATCCTGCAGCGTCTGTAACCCGAGGTACCCCTGTATGATCATCATTCAATAAATAAATAAATTGAGAGCCAGTGTGGTGTGGTGGTTAAGACGGTAGTCTCGTAATCTGGTGAACCGGGTTCGATTCCCCGCTCCTCCACCTGCAGCTGCTGGGTGACCTTGGGCCAGTCACACTTCTCTGAAGTCTCTCAGCCCCACTCTCCTCACAGAGTGTTTGTTGTGGGGGAGGAAGGGAAAGGAGAATGTTAGCCGCTTTGAGACTCCTTAAAGGGAGTGAAAGGCGGGATATCAAATCCAAACTCTTCTAAAGGGAGCAGTTGCATAAAAAGGGACACTTTCCCTGTCTGTGCATCTTTTAATTAATAGTTTGTTAATGCTCTCAACACACACACAGCTTTTCTTTCCCCCTGTGGTAAATTCATGGGTCGAATAACCACATTTTTTATGAGAAATAAAGAGTCAGGAAGAAACTAGAGAGAAATGATGAGAAATAGAAAGGGAGGAGGTTGATGCTGGTGATTTTTGCTGTAATTCAGAACTGCACTATGTTCCCCCCAATACAGTGGTACCTCGGGTTAAGAACTTAATTCATTCCAGAGGTCTGTTCTTAACCTGAAACTGTTCTTAACCTGAGGTACCACTTTAGCTAATGGGGCTTCCCGCTGCCGCTGCACCGCCGGAGCACGATTTCTGTTCTCATCCTGAAGCAAAGTTCTTAACCCGAGGTACTATTTCTGGGTTAGCGGAGTCTATAACCCAAATCGTCTGTAACCCAGGGTACCACTGTATATCTCATTAAAGGCTTCCAGGTTTGTAGGCCAGATGTGTTTGTATTTGTAAAGTGTCCCTCCAGTGGTATGGTAAGGTAATTTTAGAATCTTAATGACCTTACTGAGAGGGTGCCCAGGGAGAGGGCTCTTTTGTTATCCCTGTGTCTTACGTTGCCCATTTCAAAATGTGATAAGTCAGTCCTGTGGCATTTGGGCATCCTCCTGCTCATTCTGCAGAATGCAGCAGGCCCTGGACAAGTCCTGCCCTGACAGCACCAGTCCTTCTTCTGCAAGACACAACAGGCATTTCATCACCAGCTCCAACTTAGAGCTGTTTTTCATCAAATACTGGTATGCATGTGTGCTAGATTTCCATCCTCTAAGAATCAGTCCCTTGGCTGCTAGAAGATTCCTTTGGAGCCACCACTGGCCTCTCTTCCCACCAAAAAACCATAGAGATATAGTTCAATACAGCTATTCTGCCAGGTCCTTCACAAGGAGTTTTGGTAGCATAACTGACAATGGAGTCAATCAAAATTAGGACATTACTATGGAGCTCCATTTCGGGCGATGCACCAAGAATCTTATATCTTCAAGATTGCAAGTGTGTTAATGTGCTCAGTCTTTTCCCACATCCAACCCACAGAAAGATTTCTGGTGAATGACACATAATTTTGTCCAGCGATGACAAAGTGAAAAGTATGAAGGCCTCCTTCTGTTGACTCCTTGAGGCCCGATGTTCTAGCTCATCACACCATAATTGCTTCAGAGATTCTATGAAGACCTAAGCTGCGCATATAAGTAATTTATATACATCTACATTAAGATCATAGAGACCTTAAGCATTGGCAAAACTAGGGTGTGGCTCGTGATTCTGGGAAAACTGAGGTTGGAACCAGATCTTACACTGGCAAACATAGGATTCCATCTCCTTCGCAAAGACAACAGAAAGACAGAGGTAGCAGGTGAGCATATATTCTCTCCTGCAAATGTTCTCCCAGTACTAAGACCATGTTTCTTCCAGCCAGGAGCATTTCTGGAAAGTAATGATTTAAAACTGTCAAGGACGCACTTCTAGGCAAGATTTGTTGGGAGCAGGAAATATTAATCACCACCACTCAGCCACCATTCTCCCTGCAAGCATTCCTGTCACGCTGCATTGGTCTTCCAAAAGAAATATGCAATACCTAGTTGTCCTAAGTAATGAATAGATGCTGGAGCTGTAAATATTCCCACTTTCTCACACCAGGGCCTAAAACCCCTCACACTGCTATATGAAGTCCATGAGATCACCTGTTGTGTACCTCACCTGGGGCACTTTTGAAGTGCCAGCTTTAATCCAAACCTTGACCTTCAGCCAATATTCAGGTCAAGGTGGTTCCCCTACAGGTATGGTTTCGTCATGCAAGTAAGTGGACTAAGTTTATCTGCTATGCACCAGCAAGCTTGTCTGGTTGTTTTGACAGTAGGCTCCTTTCACCTTTGAGATCTAGTCAACATGTGCTTAGTAACAGAGTTATATCCTGTAAAAAAAGGTATTAAGGATAAGGGCACTGAACAGATGAGGGGCAAGCTAGGTGTGATAGGCAGTCTCTTTTCCCTGTTTGTTTGACTTAATGAAAAACAGCCTTGGGCAGCTGCAAGTTTAAGGAAAAGGCATGAGCTTCTCAACCCATTCTTCCCTTCCATTTGCTGACTCAAAATCATACACTCACCAGTTGCTAGGGATTTAAAAGTGAACCTGCCTAATTTGCACCTTCAGAACCAGAGCAGAGCTAGTGTTTGACATTCACACTGCTCCAAATTTTGCAGTACAGTTCTCAAACCAAGTAATGTGTGCATAAAACGACCAATATTTCATACAAAATACCCTACAAAAATACTTTAAATTAGGGGAAATTGCATGCAAAAAGGTGTATATTAGAATAAATTTGAACTAAAATGATAGTGGAATTTCATGAGGGGAAAAAGGGGGGAAATGCAAAGTGATGTTGAAATGTGGAAAATAAACTCAAGATTTCAAAAATTAGGATCCGAAAGAAACTAAAATTGACAGGTTGGCTCGTTCCTACCAGTTGCTTGCCCACCTGTTAGAGAAAGAAATGGGGTCTCCATATATTTTTCCCTCCAGAGAGAAAGGGAACTTGGGGATGCAAACAAATAAAAATTAAAAGGGGGTTGAGCAGCTATGCCCCCTACTCTTCTGCCTTTCAAAGTCTGTTTTTTTATATAAAAAGAAGAAACAATCATTAAAAGAAGAAAGCCACGCTGTTTAAAAATAATAATAGTAATAATAAACTATGTTCCAGAAAGGCAGTGTGTCCTGCATCAGAATGTTTTGCCCTTATGGTGGTGAAAGGAGTTCCGATTTTCCTTCACTTAAATTCGCTTTCCTACAATATAGTATTGATATGCTTGCAATTGCATATAGTGCAATTAAAAACAGCCGTATCTTGGAAGTTGAACGGAATCCATTCCGGAAGTTCACTTGACTTCCAAAACATTCAGAAACCAAAGCGTGGCTTCTGATTGGCTGCAGGAAGCTCCTGCAGCCAAACAGAAGCTGTGGAAGCCGCACTGGACGTTCAGCTTACTAAAATAGTTCGCAAACCAGTTTGCGGTGTTCAGCAGCCAAAACGTTCAAGAACTAAGCTGTTTGAAAACCAAGGTATAACTTTACAGTGTGTTTGTTATTACATCACTGTGTGCTAATTCAGGAGAGGATGAACGGTAGAGGGGAGGGCCTTGAATTTCATAGGGATAGGCAAGTATGGTCAGGAAGATAGCTGTCTCAGGTTCCAGCTCTATATGTTGGGACAGCTTTGATGATTTCTTTCTTAGCTCGGTTGGTAGAGCATGAGACCCTTAACCTAAGAGTCATGGGTTCAAGCCCCACATTGGGCAAAAGACTCCTGCATTCCAGGGCATTGATGGCTCTCATGGTCCCTTCCAATTCTACAATTCTATGCTTTAGTGCTGGACCAAAACTTGAGAGACCTGGGTTCAAGTCCCCTTGCTGTTATGGAGCTCACTGGGTGCCCTTAGGCACATCACTACCCCACAGGACTGTTGTGAGAATAGAATGGTATGAGAATCATATACAGTGGTACCTCGGGTTACGTACTTAATTCGTTCCGGAGGTCCGTACTTAACCTTAAACTGTTCTTAACCTGAAGCACCACTTTAGCTAATGGGGCCTCCTGCTGCTGCTGCTGCGCCGCCGGAGCACAATTTCTGTTCTCATCCTGAAGCAAAGTTCTTAACCTGAAGCACTATTTCTGGGTTAGCAGAGTCTGTAACCTGAAACGTATGTAACCTGAAGCATATGTAACCCGAGGTACCACTGTATGCTCCCCGAGCACCTTGTAGGAAGGGTGGGAATTTAATATAATTTTATTTCATTCATTTCTATTAGACCCGGAAGGATGGGGTAAAAATCCCTATAACAAATAAAAAAAAATTCTTCAGTGATGGTTATGCTTGGAGTGTTACAACTGCCTCCTGCCTTCTCAATGGGTTTTGCACGGGGCACAAGATCTGGATTTCTGCATGAAGAAAACCAGGAGGGAGAAATAAGCCGAAAGAAGGCTTCGAAAGCCAGTGTGGTTGTGTATCCTTCATAAATTATAAAGCAGCCAAGAGAGCATGGACGAATATATTTGCCCTTGCAGGTCACTTAGGACAGCTGAGTCAATAAAATCAACGATCCTACAATTCCCTGACAAGAGGGGAGAGGAGGTGCTCCTTTCAGAGAGGCGGCATTCGCATTGGTTAATTCTCAGTGAGAAATGATCTCGCCTGCGTTTTAAGAGAACCGGCCAAGGGAGTTGAGTTTGGGACCCATTTCCCCAGCCGCCCCGTTAGCCGTGGGTTTTTCAGATGCCGCGTTGTTTTCTTCTCCCAAAGGGTCGCTGGATGTTTCCTAAGAAATGATGAATTATTTATGGCTTTCATAATTATTCCGTGGCTGCGGTTACTTCAGATGTTGGCCTTGCATTGTTCTGGCTTGTTAAAAATTTAACAGGGACAACAACAAAAAAGAAAGGCACCGGGAGTCAATTTCTTCTGCCGCGTAGTTGCGAGTTATGATTCCGCGAGGTGTTCTGTGAGGAGTCACCGACTATTTACACTGCGCAAGTCCCCTGAGACAACAACCAAAGGCTTATGATGCGCCTATGCTGTGCTTCTTTTCTTACAAATTTTTTTTAGGGGTACTCTCATTTTTCTATTCGTATTGAAATACTGCCCCTCAATGAGGCCAAACTTAGATTCACAAAATGTTTAGGGATAAACGCACCCCTGCATACCCCCAGAAAAAAACACTGCACCTATGTGTGTGACCCGTTCCATTCTACACCTTCCTCAGCTCTCTGAGTAATCTGTTTGGGGTCCTAAGAGCAACTACATAGCTAATCATAAAAATAAAGAATAGGAAACCAGCGTGAGGCACTTTCCTAAGTCAGGGCACTGGTCTATCTAGCTCAGTATTGTCCTACACTGACTGGCAGCATCTCTGCAAGGTTTCTGAAAGAAGGCATTCCCAGCCCCACCTGAAGGTGCCAAAGATTGAACCTGGAATCTTCTGCATGCAAAGCAGATCCTCGGCCACTGAGCTTGGAATTGTTCAGGTAGCCTGGAAAGCTTGGTTGGTTCCAGCGTGGTGCTGATACGAAAGTCCCAGGTTTGAACCCCGTATGGAACAGGCGCATATTCTTGCATTGCTGCATATACCAGAGCCAGAGACCAGGACAACATGTGCTCTCAAGGCTAACGTTCTAAGATGCCATAATTTTGCACTGCAGGTTTTTCTCTGAAATTCAGTTCCGCTTGCCTGTGGCAGAGGCTTCACTCTTTAAACCTTATCAAGTCACAATAATTGCCGTTTGCTACTTATTGCTATATGGATAAGTAGTAAATAGCAAAGAAAAGGCACTTCCTGCCTATAAGGAAAAGGCGCTTCCTGCCAGATAAGACAGGATACAAAAAGAGGATATAACAGCATCTGGCTACAATGAATTGCTGAGCCTCTGCAGTGATTCAGGCATTAAAATCTGCCACTCTGGGCTTTAGGAAGGACCCAACCTGCAAACAGCATTCAAGTGCAGTTCAAATCTATTTTTATACAGCTTTATTTTGAAGATTTTATCTGGGTAATGTAAAATATAATGGAGTTGGATGGGATGTTTGAACCCTCCAAACCAACCGCAAGAAATAAAATTCCAAAATATCATATATATTGTCTGTCATCCCAGTGCAATAGATTGCACTACCTAACTCCTCTTTCTATCTCGTTGCCTCTGCTTTGTGCTCTCCCCCTTCCTCTCCTCTATGCTTAATTTTAAACAGAATTTCTAGCTGCCACACCAAAATACCTACAGCACAGGAGCTGTCCAGGCCACCTAACACAGGATGTCTGGTTCTGAGGAATGACACCCTTGGCTCATCCTCAGATGGAGGCAGGGAGGAGTGGGGAGGCAGAATACCCCACAGGAGCCAGACCAGGTGGGTCAGAAGGTGACAAGGCAAGCAAGTGAAGACCCAGAGGACGCCACTTCACGGCCCCGTGTCCTAAATATCAGCTTGTCTTACAAAAACATTGTGCTTGGACATAGTGCTTTTTTCTGGAGGGACGCAGGGGTATGCATACCCCTAAACATTTTGTGAATCTTTGTACTTTTGTCCGTTTACTGTATTTATTTTCCCCGATTTGAACTATAAAATGGTGATTTTCTTGAGTCAAAATGAAAGTACCCCTAAACATTTTTTAGGGGGGAAAGCACTGGAGGTAACTTTTAACAGCTGTGAAGGGACAAAATGATTGCTGAAATATAAAGAATTAATGAGTCTATTCTCAAATATGGGCACTATTAAGGGCCGGTTGAGGGCCACATTTTTTTGCATGTGACCCTGGGTGTCCTGTGGCTTTCCATTTCCTTTAACTTCATTTTTAAAAAAAAAAAAATAACACACAAACACCTTTTTAAAGTGCAGTGCTGGTCACCCACCATCTTAATTTGCCCTGAGGGCCTATATATACAGCTTAGCATATGCAAATTCTATGCAAATTTGTGCTATTGGCCTTTGCCCCAAGCCCTTTACAGTACCTGGCAATCCCCCATGAATTTTAAATCAAGATGCTTCCTCTTATTTCTTTAAGCTCCTGAGGAAAAGTTGGTATGATCTAACATTGCATTTCTCTGTGGAGGAATATCAGTGAAATAATTAATATAAGGAACATTGTACGCTGATGTAAAATCTACATGGATTTGGGGTTCTCGTGTAAAGATTTCAGAGTTATTTCCCTAAAGAGTCCTGATCAGGAGAGAAAGGTTTATATTGAGTTAATCTAGAGTTGCTAAAAATGTCTAGAGCCAATACCTAATGAGTTTTAAAGAGTTTACGTCTTTGACATAGTAGCTGCTTTAGATAATTATACATCAGATTAGCAAACAGCTGAATCATTTGTTTGCTGCACAACAATACACCCCAGTCCCAGGATCTGCCCTGGGACCCTCTGTTTCTGGCTGTGCAAACTGCTTAGATAGCTCAGTTGTTACAGCATGAGATTCTTAATCTAGGGTTGTGGGTTCAAACCCCACGTTGGGTAAAAAGATTCCTGCATTGCAGGGGGTTGGACTAGATGAACCTTGTGGTCCCTTCCAGCAATACAATTCTTTAATTCTACGGTTCTGCATGAGACAAGGGTGCCCAACCTGAAGATAAGAAAATGTGACACTACAGAACAGAGCTGCTTGCCATCTATACATCTCTAGCAACTGCACAGGTTCCTTAGCAACAGCAAAACTCAAGCACCAATTAGCGTGTCTCCATGTGATTATTCCTCAAGAGTACCTATATCTCTGATTATTATGAGGCATAAAAAGTAACCACCACAACAAATGCTCTTAAAACATACTGCTTCTCTTCTGCAATTTTCAGCTGCATATATAAGACATATACAGTACACACACACACACACACACACAGTAGGACCTCAGAGAGACTTATTCAACCTGCAATCTCCATCTTGAAATTGGGTCTACAAGCTGACCTCATGACTTTGACATCCAGTCTAATATTTTGTACTCCCCTCCCCACTTGTCTTCCCTCCCTGCCCCAATACCTAGCTTGATGAAGAATTCCAGAGAGCTCAAAAGCATACCCCATTTTTGTGGTATTTGGTTAGTCCTACATTTTGGCACCTGAGGTGAACCACAAAATGGCATCCCCCTACCTGCCAGGGAAGAAGGAGGAGAGTGAAGTTCAACACCAGGAACAGCGGGGAAATAAAGATCTGCCTTGGGATTTGCTTCCTCAGTGGATCTTGCCACTTGAAGCTGTAATTTCACTTTGCCTTATGTGGGGAGGCCAGCCCTGGTCCTAATCATGATTGCCCAACTGCATAGCCTCCGAAATTCCTCAGATGAATGACCTTTCTCACTCCCCCTCCCCTCATTGACCCTCCTCGACCCCCCATTTTTGGTCCCCTCATTCGCAGAGCATTTCCTGTCAGAAGAAGGGCAAGTGGCAACACCACTACACCAACGATACACAGCACACACAGCCTCCACCATCCTGAGGAAACCCCTTAATCCTGATTTTGTTTTATTCTCTGGTAGATTTACAAAAAGAAAAAACACACACAAATACATTTTAGAAAGGGTCAAGATTAGACGTGGACGCACAAAGCATTAAAAAAACAACAACAATGAGACTCCTTACACTCCACTGTGCCCCCTGTTATGTACTGAAGTCCTCACCCTGGGCTAGCAGGCGGATACTGTAGATAGTTTTCACTCAGGTCCACATATGCAAATAAGGGATTGAAAGTGACGTTCAGAGATTGGATAGTTACAGAAAGTGGTTACTGTTGCCTTGTAGTGGAGCTCTGTATAAGCAGGCTGGCTTAACCCTTCAGTTCAGTTCTGTTCTGGCCTGTGAATAAACAAGAGCTGTTGAAGAATCGCTGTGTCGTCTGATATGTTCACCCACAACTTAACACTCCCTCTTTGTCAGGGAACTGACATCAGAGCGGGAGGCGAAGGGGAGGCTCCTAGATGATGCTGGAGAAGGACCCAGCAGCAGGGGGAGAAGCAGCTCAGTGGAGGAGGAAGCATTTAAGCGCAACACCAGGAACAAAAGTGGGCAGATGGGGAAATCGGAGAGAGGGCTCACGGACTCTTCACTGGAACTCAGTGAGGAGGGGACAGGTCCTCCGCTACCTACGCCCACCCTGCGCAGAAGGCTCCCGCGCAGTGAGAGGCGGAGGAGACTGGGTGTCAAACAACTCTTATGTTGGAAGAGATTCAAGAAACGCCCACTGACGGATTCTGCTAGTGACTGAGACAGTCATGATGAGAAAGGGCTGTGCAGTCAGAAAGGTTTAACAAGGCAAATTAGCCTAGAGAGGCACCAGTTTACGCACGAGTAACTCATACTCATCACACTCTTTTTTCTAGCTCAGGGCAGCTCTGCCCTCTGCCTGCCCCTCAGAGCCAGCACATCACTTGGGTCTAGGCACCAGCAGCTGCTTCTTCTCCTCACCCACACTCCAGGAGCTGCTACAAGTTGCCCAAGGATGGAGGCTGGCAGTGGCGGCCATGAAGAGGCCATGGGATGCTCCCTCACAGCTGCCGTCACTCAGGACAAGTCCTGGGTCATCTTCCTCCCTTAGCTCAGCAGCAGCAGCAGCGGCAGACAAAATAGGGACATCACAGAAGCAGAGATGGAGCTAGCTGCTCCGGCACCCAGAGCGGCGCACATACTGTGCACCCGGGAGCAGGGCTAGCCCACAGCAATGTCACACCCCTCAGGGATGACACCTGGGGCGGACCGCACCCACCGCACCCCCCTTCCTCCACCAGTGCCTTTTATAATTCCGGGACTGTCCCTGGTAAATCAGGACACTTTGAAGGTATGCAACGGCTTATTCTGAAGCTATTTCTTATGGACCAACAGGGCTGCTTTTGCTTTTTGAACCTTGCAGTGAAGTGAGTGCCCTTACTGATATCTGAAGCAGGTGTCTCGTTCAACACATTCTCCTGCCATGGCTTAGATACTGCAGGGTTCATTCAAGGCTTGCAGCCAGGATGGCAACAAGCAATCTTGCTGCAACAAGGATTGCCTTGATGCAAGGAAAGAGGGTAAGATCACCATGCTGCTGTTTCCTTGCCTGTTCTGTGTTTTTTTCCTGTTTTTTGAATGAGATATGCGCTAGAGCTCATTTTGCAAAGAGAGGGCGAAAGGAAGAAGAGCTGGAAGTGACTAGCCTCAAAGTAACATCTGGAGAAGCCTCTTGTCAGTTTCACTTGGCAGCCACTCAGCCTGAATCGGCAAACTGCCTCTTCAAAAGCATCATCTATCTGCCCAAATTGCCTTGCGGCTAGTCAGTTTCAGGTCCTGGGTGAGCCCCATCTAATGAAAGATGCAGTTAAATCTTTTTTTCCCCTCCCCTTTGCAAGCATAAGCTTCTCATTTACATTTGACTTTAGCAAGATTTTTCTCCCCCCATCACCACACAGTTTTTTTAGGTTTCCGAGAAAATTAATCAGCTATTGATTGCACCATCTTCTGCTTACAGTAAGTGACCTTTTGATATGTTATGTTTTAGACTGAATTTAAATGTTTCGCAAAACACATCACTCTGTTTTGTTTCTTCTAAGATTTAATGCAGACTTTTCTACCTCTTATGCCTGCGATGTATCTACAGAAGTCTTTCTGTTTAGATGTGCAGTGCTTAATGTCAGGCTTTTTAGCAATATGGCACATTAGCTAACATTTTACATTTCATCACACTGAAACAAAAAGCTCATTTAGATGCCTTTCAGAGGCCCTTTTCAGTTGGCCTCTACTTTTAAGACTCTAAAGGAACAAAACCCCAGACACAGCCACTGAGGAAAGTGATGTTTGCTAAAGAAAGCTGCCCTTAATTTCTGAATGAAAGGTAGAGAAGTTCATGCTAGTCTGAAAGTCATCTCTTTTTTATCCGAAAGCCCTTAGCGCTAATAGTAGTGCAGTGGTAGTGCTGCTAAATTTAGTTTTCTTTGAATGTCCTGTTCATTCAAAACTTGTGTACACAGCGTAAATGCAGTGACCATAACAAAAGGATGAAATATTGAGAGTGCTCATCATGCTACATACTTATGCCTGTAATATGAGTAATGCATGAACATATTATATATTTATATGCAAATATATAATCAACACATGTCGGACGCAAACAGGTACTCCTCTAGTACACAGCACTTCTGCTAACTTGCCTCAGATTTTGAGAGGGAGAACATTCACTATAAGATTGACCTTCCATCAACTGCTGGCTTCCTCTTCCTGTCTCTTCCTTGTCAAATTTAAAGTGCAAAACTGCCTTCTGTTTCTCAGTCCCTGCCTTTAGTTTAGAAGGCTGTCACTTTCCAAAGGCTGGAAAGTGGAATTGCCATTCCACTATATTGTTTGTTTATTCAGGCATCATCCCTAGCAGTAATCAATCAGACCTAACAAAAGAGTGTCTCCCAGCACCCAAAACAAATATATTTGTAAATATTTTTAACTTTGACTTCCATAGTTTCTCCTACGGTATTGCATAGTGCATTTTCTATTGAGACAGAGATGTGTGTATATTGCCTTTTTATATGATTAGAGTACAGTGGTACCTCAGGTTACATACTCTTCAGGTTACCTACGCTTCAGGTTACAGACTCTGCTAACCCAGAAATAGTGCTTCAGGTTAAGAACTTTGCTTCAGGATAAGAACAGAAATCGTGCTCCGGCGGTGTGGCGGCAGTGGGAGGCCCCATTAGCTAAAGTGGTGCTTCAGGTTAAGAACAGTTTCAGGTTAAGAACGGACCTCTGGAACGAATTAAGTACTTAACCCGAGGTACCACTGTACTAAAAAAGAACTCAATTTAAATAAATTCGTTTCTTTCAGAAGTGAGATGTAAATAGAAAAAAATAAATAAATCACATATGCTACAGTTAATATGGTTGCTACAAACACTTCCAGATGGCAGTCAAGCAGCCTGCCTTTATGCTGCAGCAGATGTTGCACACAATTTCTATTCTTTTTGGAGTAAAATAATTAAAGGTGCAGTTGAACTGTCATCCCTTAAATAAAATGCAGCAGATCAGTGGATGTCACAGACAACTCATGCATTTCTCCTCTCCTCAACATTTCAGTGAAAGATACACCTGATTTTCCCTGTCCTCTTAATATATTTATTTGCCACATTTGTATGTTCCCTTCCTCCAAAGAGCTCGAGGCATCATAAATGGGATTGTGCCATACAACCAAACGATGAGTTTTAATTGAAAGATAGCACTTGCTGAAGGGTCACCAAGGGAGCTTCCTGGCTGCAGTTTTTAAACTAAATCTCTGTGATCCAGGTCTTGCATTCTTCCCACTAAAGGTAAAAAAAAGTAAAGGGCCTCTGGACGGTTAAGTCCAGTCAAAGGCGACTATGGGGTTGCGACACTCATCTCGCTTTCAGGCCAAAGGAGCTGGCATTTGTCCACAGACAGCTTTCCGTGTCATGTGGCCACCATGACTGAACCACCTCTGGCACAACAGAACACCATGACAGAAACCAGAGCGCACAGAAATGCCGTTTATCT